TGCACATTGTCTGTCGAGATTCTACTCACACTGTATTGTCCATTCAGTCCTTTTCATCACATTGCAGTTCCTCGGTTATTACGTACATTGCATATATGTGCATGTAACAGTTGGTATCGGAGCTTTGCACGTGAATCAGGACAACCTGATCTGACACGTGTGCGGGGACTAAAACGCTAGTTAGTCTTTTCTGTTTGATTAGGACATACTAGTTAGACCCCAAAATCACGATCTTGACCTTACTACCGAAAATCGAAAATTTTTTCTCTTCTCGGATTTTAATTTCTCGCTATTCTGCTGTGGAAAACGCTATATCGCAACATCTGAAATTCCTATTTTCGTTTTTCTTTCTGAAAATCCGAAATTTCGCTGTTGAAAATCCGGAATATTTTTCTTTTTGAAAGTTTCGATTTCCTGTTGCATTTCCCGTTACTTAGAAATTCGGAATATTTTTCTCTCTGAAATTCGTTTTTCTGAAAACGGTACGGGAAATACCTCCTGCGTTATTATTTTTCAAACTGCGAATCGGAATAAATCCGAATACGTATCATTTCTGTTCGGAATTTTTTTCGCAGTTGTAGGATACTGTCGTTCAGTTCTATAAATCATTGGCAGTCTAAAGTCGAATTTTTTTTCTCTTTCAGAGATCTTTTCGTACTTCAAGGGAGACTGGGATACCTACCGAACTTGCAAAAATCGGGATTTTATTTTTTTCTTTCTCGAAGTTTTTTTTTTTGCAAAGTTCGAACTTTTCTGTTTTGATTAGTGGCTCCTTATCTAAGTGTGAGTTGGGCGATTATCCCACCCACCCCTCCCCACCTATGTCGTTGCCATCTCTCGCCTTGCCGTTTCTGTTTGTATCCGGGTACCCCCTGCGGCGGCATTGGTGAGTTGCCACGTCAGCAGGCCACGTCAGAAGACCACGTCAGCAGATCACGTCAGCAGACCACGTCAGCAGGCCACGTCAGCAGACTACGTCAGTACGTCAGCAGGCTACGTCAGCAGGACACATCAGCAGGACACGTCAGCAGCGCCACGTCAGCAGCAAGGGATACCACAGCAGCAGGCCCCGGCCTGGTCTATGCTGTTGCGTTCACATACAGCAGTCATGGACCAGAGGCCCAGAGAAACAGACGAGGCCTATCAGGCCCGCATGTTGGCTTTGAGTACTGAAACAAAGAAACGGGCAGATGACACTGCCGCAGCAGCGAAGAAGAGGGCAGAGGATGCCGAGCAGGCACGTCTGCTGGCGGTTGAACAACAGCGCCAGCATGACGAGGCAGCAGCAAGGACTGCCGATGAAGAAAGAGCACAGCGTCGTGAGAAGATTTTCCCTGGAGAGCGGGCGTTACTTACCATGGGAGCAGAATGGCAGACCGAGGCCGAGAATAGCCAGTTGCAGGATAGCGCAAACAAGATAGCGCTCCTCCTCTCGCATCTCACGGATCTCCTGGCAACCTGCATTACACAGCAGGCGGAGATCCTTGGTCTCGACAACTCGGTAGCTCATCTCCAAGACCGCCTTCAGCGATTGGAGCAGCGACCAGTCGCCGCCGCCGACGCAGGCTCTTCCAATACTGCCGACCGCCTCAATGCATTGGAGATGCACGTCGGCTCACTCCAGGACGGCACACAGTTACAGCTCACCGCGACACAACAGTTGCAGCAGCGGGTATGTACCACCGCCACTACCTCGAGTACGGAACCGCGCGAGACAACTCCAAAGTTTGACGGGCAGGAGATCTTCTGCGACGCCATGAAGACAGATCCGATTCCATGGTTCCGCAAGTTCGAGCTCACGCTGCAGCTGTCCAACGTCAAGGAACACAAGCATCACGCCTACTTGTACTCTCGCTCAGGGGGCGCGTGCCAGGCTTGGTTGGACAACCTCCTGTCCAAGTACGGAGTAGTAGCGGCCGACTTGCACACCAAGATAAGTTGGGATGATCTGAAGGCGGCGTGGCACAAGCGGTTCCAGGTGGAGCCGCCAGAGATCAAAGCCATGGACAAACTCATGGTCTTCGAGCAAGGCACGCTGCCGAGTACAGACTCGATCGCCGAGTACCAACGCTTGACGTCAGTCGCAGACATCCAGATGAGCTTCAAGGCCATCCGCCATTACTTCATCTCAAGGTCATGTCCGGCATTAAGCAATGCCCTGGCTCATGTCGAGGACACCTTGACGACGACGGCGGAATTGTTCGACAAGGCTGCGCAGATCATTATCACGAACAAGGAGGCCAAGAACCTCCGTTCATCTGAGTCAGGCCCGAGCAGGGACCAGCATCGGCCAACAGTGGCCGTGGTCGCAGCGGCAGCGCCGTTAGACCAAACCAGCGAGGTTGTGTCTGCCAGTGAAGGGGACAGATTGATTCGCAGCCGCCCGGGAAGGTGGCCGCCCCGACAGAGGCCGAGGACGCGGCAAGACGAAGACACACACCGTTTCTAGCCCCGGGCCCGGTGCAGCAGCTCAGACAGGCCCATGGACCCCGTATGGCATCTCCGAGTCCGCATACAAGGCGCGCGAGAGAGTCCACTATTGCCTTTGGTGCAACAACAATCTTCATCAGACGCAAGTTTGCCCATTGAAAGGCAAGGGCAGACAGGGAAACTGAGCACCGCTGAGAGTGACGCGACGACACTCTCGACGCCTTCGGAACTAGTTTCTTCGCGAGTAACCAGCCTTCATTCTGAGGCGCACGCGGAAGTCGACAGTCCTTCGCTTCTACTTTCTTTTGAGGACTATGCTGCCCGGCTCATTCCAACGCTGGGTACTCAAGCTCAAGGACAAGGAGTGTGTGAGGTTTCTTCTCCATCCGGCAACAGCGACATATCATCTTCAAGTGGTTCGTCACGGGATTCGGCGCGCGAGTTCAATATAGAGGCATTGGACCCGCTCACGTCTGAGGACTTTGCATGGCTTCCTCTCCCGACCACAGGTTGCTTGTCGGGACCGCAATGCGCAGCACTTAGCGCTCATCTCCACACTTACCTTTCCTTCTATGCACCACCAACTTCGCCGACGGATGACGAAGTCGCGGTGGTGGACATCCTGGCATATACTACCAAGGTGGCCCGCGAGTTTTGCACGCAGCGGTACAATAACAACAGCGCACCGCTCATGTATGTCCGCATTCAGGTTGGGCAAGCGTCCTGCAGCGCTTTGCTGGATAGCGGCGCGTCGCGCAACTTCATGAGCCAGTCTTTAATGCAAAGGGCTGGCCTTGGCACACAAGTCCAGAGGAAGGCAAACCCGACGGCGATCAAGTTGGCGGATGGAAAGACGCAACAACTTCTCGACCGTTACATCGAGGCCGTACCGGTCTACTTCGCACCTCATGCATGCGAACCGGTGACATTCGATATTCTCGACACGGACTTCGACATCATTCTGGGAATGCCTTGGCTTGCAAGTGCGGATCACACGGTCAACTTCCATCGGCGGACTCTTAGCGTTCGCAACGCCTTCGGCGCGGAAGTGGCGTGTACTATTCCTCTACCGCACTCTTCGATCCGGTGTCAAGTGGTGACGGCCAAATCATTCCGGGCAACTTGCGCTTACGGGCAGCCCGAGGAGATCGGCCTATGTTTCCTACGGACCGTCGCGGTAGCCGACTCTTCACCCACGGACTTGTCTTCGGACCCCCATGTGGTACAGTTGCTGGACGAGTTCGCCAACATCTTCGAGTCACCTACCGGTGTGGTGCCGGGTCGGCCGATCTCTCACGAGATCATTCTTGAGGCCGGTGTCGTGCCGCCGAAAGGTTGCATCTATCGGATGAGCGAGGAGGAGCTTGAGGTCCTCCGTGGACAACTCGATGATTTGTTGGCCAAGGGTTGGATCCGCCCGAGTAGCTCCCCATATGGAGCACCAGTTCTCTTCGTCAGGAAGAAGAACAAGGATCTACGATTATGTATCGACTACCGCAAGCT